GGCCAATCTCCATGACGGTGTGAAGAAATTAGAATCAGTTAAAAGTAATTATACTTATATATATCAAAGAGCTTAGCGATCAATGAAACTTTTCATTTTGTATAAATCCAGTAATATACTTTATATCAAAACAAAAATTCTGGTAAAAAATATCATATGCAATGATTTTTACTCACTTTTAATTCATTAATTACTATTTTTATATTGTCATTAAAAGGTACACATTACAAAGAAGACATAACTTGGCAATAGAATTTATAGGAAACGTTGACTCTGATCATACTTATGTTTTATTTAAAAAACACATCAGAATATTTGGAAAATACAAGCTCACGCACATGTTTATATATTAAAATTGTTACCCATGATTTTTCGAAAATCACTGAGATATTTTAAGATGTGTAATTAAAAGTTATAAAAAGTTGTACAAGCAATGCAACAATATTAAGGTTTATTATGCTTAAACTGGCATATATATAAACTGTTATACATATGAAGTACAACTCAGCATTACATAACATAAGCTGGTGTGATATTATATAAAGTACAGCTCAGCATTACTTAACATAAGATAGTGTGATACTGTATAAAGTACAGCTCAGCATTACTTAACATAAGATAGTGTGATATTGTATAAAGTACAGCTTAGCATTACTTAACACCAACTGGTGTGGTATTATATAAAGTACAGCTCAGCATTACTTAACATAAGATAGTGTGATATTGTATAAAGTACAGCTTAGCATTACTTAACACAGACTGGTGTGGTATTATATAAAGTACAGCTCAGCATTACTTAACATAAGATAGTGTGATATTGTATAAAGTACAGCTTAGCATTACTTAACACCAACTGGTGTGGTATTATATAAAGTACAGCTCAGCATTACTTAACATAAGATAGTGTGATATTGTATAAAGTACAACGCAGTATTATTTAACATAAGCCAGTGCGATATTACAGAAATTACAAATCACCATTGCTTAACTTAAATAATATGATAACCTTAGAAAACTTCAAAATGATAGAATAGGAAATGGTTTTCCTTTTTCAAGTACACATTTTCACATCTATTAAAAAAACGAAAGACACGTGCTAATACTGCTAAGAGTAATATCTAACTAAGTTTTTTAATATTCATTACTTGGGGATTTTTAAGTATACAAAGAGTTGTACTTACTTAAGTAACAACATTTAAATTCAGCTAGCAAAGCCCACGTTTGTCCAGGAAAAGACTGATGCTTTGATAAGTACCGGTTCTTATCAGCCCACGTGGAACGACAAGACAAAAAAAAAAATCAGCATAGATTAAGGTAGAGATTTTATACTTTCAGATTGAATAGAATAGGTGGGCGTTTCTACACACATCAACCCCCACAGTTGCTTAGATTAACAGCATTAGCTTTCTAATGAACTTATTGAAATGAAAGGTTGTGTTTAGAGATCGAAATGAAATAAAGTTTTTGAAAATATTGCTAAGTAAGGAAGTTTACAAAATATCTTAGAGTTATATGTGTTACATTTCATGTAAATCCTATTGAAAACACAATCTTGTTCCCGCGTAGGAATTTTGTTTACTCTGTATTTATCCACGCTCTAAAAATAACTCATTTTAAGATTTGAAAATGTGTTTTCCACTGAGAAACATTTTATATACAGAGGTAATGGAACTAAAAATTCAAGTTAAAACTTGAACTGGCCGAAAGTTTGAACTCTTGATGCTATCAAAGTATATGAACTTTATTCCTCACATCTTGTGTAGCAATCAATGATGTATATATATATAATCTATATAATTGATACTTGAAACCGTTGGTACTTGGTGAAACTCCATAATTACAGAATTGAGGGAAAAAATATAGACAACTGTACGTTTCAAAAACCATGGTCGTTAATAAATGATGTATTTGTGAAACGGTACATCTGTCTTTGTTTTTTCCTCAAATCTATGTATAATCTACTTTAAATCATGTATTTAATGACTAGTTAGACTTAGTGAACAATCTAACAAACCCTAAA